AAAATACACAGAGACACAGTAACTTCTAACCTCATGTGTATTAACTCGCAATATCACAACCATCCTAAAGTTTCTGACAACTCTTATTCATTAGAGTTGTCACACATTTATACTTTTAACGAATACACATCTTTCATCCATAAAACTGATTTAAATATTTTAATTTGTTTACAATCTTTTTTTTAGTTATTGAGAAACATATTTTGACTTCAATTTTATTTTAAATATCACTCTTTGTCGCTCTCTTAAATTATTGAGGCTAACACACAAACAATGAAAAAATCATCAATGCAATGTTGCCACAAAAGTAGTAGTATGTGTTTTTCTTCGGTGCTTGAACTGCAGCTTTTAGATCACCAAAGCTAGCTGCATTGCTGCCACTCAAGTAATTTCTAACTAGGTCGAGGATTTGGAAAGAACCTAGTTTTGATAACTCAAATGACAATTCTCAAAAAAATTAATTAATTAAACCTCAAAATTAGAATTCATAAAAATGGAAAATCTAGTCCAAACTAAATTGTATTAATTGTTGTGAGACAATTCAGTTTATAGTTATAAAGAGATATTGAGTGCATTGACAAGGATTCGAACACGCGACATTCAATTCGTTTATCTTATGAAATTTGTTAAATTGTATAAATTACTGAAAAAAATAAAATATTTAAATCAAATTAGTTTTAGTGAAATTTGTAGTTACAATTAGATGAATTATTTGGTGGATGAATATTTGTTTAATGAATTTGTTTAAAACAATATTGGCCAATGACCTTGCTTGAATAAACACGTCACTTGTCAATTTCCCACCGTTAACATAACATTTTAATTAATTTTTCGACTATAAAGAATGGATTGCATAATATTTCAATTGATATTATTAGTTGTCTAGTTTGGGGAAGAATGGAAGCTGTAATATGGAGAAGATAATAGTGGTGGGTCATTTGCCAAACCACCATAAAACATGTCTAATTTCTGAACACGTGACATGTTGTAGGATAACGTTGACGTGCACAAATGCAACATTAGAACTAAACTGTATAACATTTAAAATTTAAGGAAAAAAAATTAGCCAAAAATTAAGGTAAAAATATTATTTAGCTCCTTTAAGTTATTTTAAAATAACAAAATAGTTTTTTTTTTTTGTAACAGTTGAGTCTTTTATGTTAAAAAATATTTGCATTGTTAATCTTTTTTAAAATTTTCGTTTTAAAAAAGTCTATGTGGCACAGACAGAGATGAAATGGTAGTTAACAGTGTTGAAGTGTCATGGACGGTTGTTGAATTGGCGTCTGTGTAATTCCCAAATTCAAGTTACAGAACCTTAATTTTCTTTTCCCCTTGCTGATTAAAATTGTTAAGTACCCATCATTTGTCATGTCTAAGAAGTTCAATGACTATAAGTGGGTTTTGGGAACCTTGTTCTCAACAAAGGAGGAGTTCAAGAAAGTTATTGTTAGTTATGTTGTTCATAATGGAAGGGATTTAAGGTATGTGAAGAATGACAAGACTAGGGTTAGAGTTGGTTGCAAGGAAGGTTGTCCATGGGTGACCTTATGTTCCAAATTACCTAATGCAGATACATGGCAATTGAGAACGCTAAATGACATTCACACTTGTAATAGAGAGTTAAATGTTAGAATGTTTAATCTAATTGGCATGGGAAGAAATTGTACACAACTGTTCGAATAAACCATAATGTTAAGCTGACTGCTTTATGTGAAAAATGCATGAGAAATAGAATGTTGGTATGCGTAGGATGAAGGCTTATACGGCACGGAAGACAACATTGAATATTGTTGAAGGACCATTCAAGGAGTAATTTTTAAGGTTGTATGACTACGCACATGAGGTTTTGAGGTCAAATCCAAACAACACCGTCGAGTTAAATGTCCAAGCAACTGGCCAACAACCATCTGAGCTTGATCAACAACCTGAAGAATATGTTAGTAGACCATTACTACCAAGTTTTCATAGATTATATATGTGTCTTGATGCTTGCAAGAAGAGTTTTGCAGTTTGCAGACCAATAATTGAAGTTGATGGATGTTTTCTAAAAGGCATTTATGGAGGCTAGATTCTTGCAGCAGTAGGAAGAGGCCCTAATGATCAAATATTTCCTATTGCAGTGGTTGTAGTTGAAGTAGAGACTAAAGACTCCTAGGCATGATTCTTTGATTTGTTAGTTCGTGGCTTAGAAGGGCCAGATGTTTGTAAAAATGTAACATTTATTTCAGATCAGCAGAAGGTAACATACAGGTCCATCATGTTTTTAATTTGCAAACAATTACAATGATGGAGGAGATTATAGGGTACCCCATGGATAGATGGGCAACTAATAGAGCCAACATTGAAGAGTATATGGAGTATGTTCTTCTAAGAATTAAAAAAGTGCTTGAAAGAAGGCAAGACATCTCTAGGTTTTTTATACCAATGTACATAAAGATTTTACAATTTACAAATTACTTTTACAAATCTTTTAAGTTTATTAACACTAACTCAATGAATTGCATTTGTTTCAAAGGTTATCAGGTGACATGATTTATGAAGTAAGGCATACAAGTTTGACTGGTGAGCATCAAGGAGGCCAAAAAGAAGAAGAAACAAGGAGGCTGATGAAAAGAGAAATGATTCAAAAAGTGTTTCAAAGGAAGGGGCTGCCAAATAAATGTTTAATATGTGGTATTTTTGGACACAACAAAACATCATGTCCTGCAAAACCAAAACATGCTCAAACTGCAACAAGTGTTCAAACTGAACAATCTCAAACTGTCCAATCTCAAACTATCCAATCCCAAACAACCACTTCAATCCCAACCAACCCAAGAGTTCAAACTAGACATCCCAAACAACCCCTCAAGTACAAACTGTCCAGTTCCAACCAACCCAAAGAGTTCAAACTAGACAATCTCAAACAACCACTTCAGTCCTAACTGTCCAATCTCAACCAACTCAAAGAGTTCAAACTAGATTGTTAGCATCATCTTCCAGAATTCAGACACGGCAATTCATCTCAGTGTCACAGTTGCTTGCTATGAGAAGAGAAAGACAAGTTGGTACAACAACATTTCAGTCACCAACAACAATGAGACCAAAGTTGGCTATTGGGGGAAAGACCAAATAGATTGTATTTTTAGCTATCTGTTTAATTCTGTTGAATGTTATAACAATGTTATGTTCTATTGAGTTATAAAACAAACTTATGTAATGTTTTGGGATCTCTTTGATCCATAACAATCTCGTGTAATGTTTTGGGATCTGATTTATTGACATCTATTTTGGTTTTTAACATTATAACAATGCTTTGACTATTATTAGTTTATGTAATGCTTGGTATTCTATCATATAAGTGTTTAAGGTTCAGAATATCTATTATTGTTTAAGATTGAGTTTCAAAAATGTTTGAGTTTCAAATTTGTTTGAGCTTCACAATTGTGTAAAACATGTCTGATATATTTTAAAATGCAACAAACAGGTCTTTCATTTTTTTAATTTATAACAATCACGCCCATCATGTTTTTAATTGGTAACACTTGAGTCTCATATGTTTTTAAAATGTAACAAATAGGTTTTTCTAATTTGTCTGGTGTATAAATTATATCATAACTGTGACAGATGTGGTATAGAATTGGAGAATTGTGACCCACATGCTTAAGACTAATTTTTATTGGTCTACAAAATATAACATAACTATCTACAAATTATAACATCACTGTGGTATAGAAATGTAGAATTGCAACACATAATTATTTCATTAACCATTGCCAATAATTACAACACATAATAGTTTAACAAACCATTGTCAAGAATTTCTACATGAAATAATTAACAATGATTTTCACTTTTAAACCAAAATACACATAACACTGCAAATATCAAAACTAACAACATAGTGACATAGCCTAGCATATTCAACATCTTCAACAAGTTCTTCATGATCTCCTTAGTGTATTTCTCATTCTTATCAATCAAACTTTTAAGCAATTTGATTTCAACATCATTTCCATCACAGTCGGAACATTTGAAAATTAGTGAGGGTTGTATCTCTTGTTTGACTTCATCACTCTTATGGTTTTCATAACACGCAAAAAACTTGCAATCGACATTTTCATCTTCACTCTATTAACATTAACACAACCATAAACAAAAACTAATTACATTTGCATAAACCAAATCCAAAACCAACAATGTTAAAGAACAGACGTACCACAAAGTATCTGCATCTCCAAAATAGCTTCCCCAAATTTCTTCCTTTCTTAACTCTTCTCAACACTGCTTTGCCTCCACATAGACATGTCAATTTGACTCCAATTTGGAATGCACTCAATATGAATGTATTAGCATTCGAACATCTTCAATTTTGTTCACCGCTACCATATGAGACCATTGATAGAGTATTGAAATTTAGGGTTCAAAGTATGTGATTTGTGATTTGAAAATTTAGAGTTTTGATTTTCAAAAATCTAAAAAAGGAGACGTGTCAATTCAACGACCATCCATAACACTTCAGCACTGTTAACTGCCACTTCATCTCCTTATGTGCCACATAGACTTTTTTGAAACGGAGATTCTAAAAAAGATTAACAATACAAACATTTTTTAACATAAAGGACCCAACTGTTAAAAAAAATTTAAGGACTAGTTATTTTAAAATAATTTAAAAGACTTAGTATTTTTGTCAAAAATTAATTAAATTTATCCATAAAAAGAAACAAAATGCACAAGATTCTTGATTTGCGGGTTGACAGTAATGTATTATGAACTTTTGTAAAATAGGATCAAGTGAATTGCATGAAAGGTATTGCAAAAAGAATTTAAGGTTTGGTATTTTGTAAGAAACGGGAAACTAAAATGTATGACCGAATATTGCAACCATACTAGCTAGACCCACTAACGCTATATACAAGAGTTAGTAGCACAGACCAAAAAACTAAAAGCTTCAATGAGTTGTGACATCTGGCTACTTTTGTAACCCTTAAAAACAAAACATTGCTATACGCTTTTCATTATCGCAGGTAAATCCTTCTGGCTACTGGATTAACTAGCTTCTTTGCCTCACGTTGACCATTCACTTTTCCCTGTAATAATGTGATGATGAATTTGCATTAGCCTTGGACGCTTTGCATAAGAGCATTTAAACAAAAACAAAAAAAAAACAAACCGACGCAAAGCGAAAAGAAAGTAAAAAGCACTTTATAACCAAGTCATTAAACTGAAGTAAAATACTCAAGATGCGTGAGTTATTAAAACAATGCTGTCAAATACTAGCACTTATAGCCAAGCATGCCAGTGTTTTAAGTGAAATCCTCACCATTAAAAAGCAAATGATTGGAATTTTTAAATGTTCAAAAATGCAAGGATACGTATTTGGATGGCTAGGATTCCACTGGATAAAAACCAAGTGAAATCTCCAATGTAGAGAATCCATATAGCAACATTGTAGTCCGGCGGAATTGTTCAATTTGAACAAGTCGCTATTTTTCTGAGCTACACTATTTAGTACATAGAATTGTTAAATAACGGCTATTGAGGCACTGTAGCACTGCCACATAGTAGAATTTAAACAAACCAAAATTTTCACAATCTGTGATTGACAAGTGTTACAGAAAGGATGATAATATGACCATGAATTCATTACAATGGTTACAATTTTTCATCTCTCCAAGAACGAATATAAATAAAGATTTTGTAATAAGTCATGGCAAGAAAAGGAAGTTGACTGAAAAGACCGGTAAGAAACTTCATGAGGAAACATGAACAAAACACTAGAATGCAAAATATGCTAAATGAATGACTAATATTCCTTAGAATTTTAAAGGAGAATAGACTCTTGAAAATATCATTTAACAAAAGGATATTGGAAATTGACAGACATCTCATTGAAGAACATTCTATTATCTCTACATTCAACTTGAATTCACAATGCACGGTGTATTAAAAATCTGAAAGAAACTCTAAAAATAATTTTCTTTCAAATAATGAACAAAAAGTAATAGTGAAATATACTAGAAATACCAGTATTGGTGTATTAGAAATCTGAAAGAAACTCTAAAAGTAATTTTCTTTCAAATAATGAACAAAAAGTAATAGTGAAATATACTAGAAATACCAGTATTGTCAAAGCCGCCGATCCTGCTTTGTCATCCTTATGCTGTCGATTATGTACTCTTGTTTTCGGACTTTTTAAAACACCCTTTGCAAGAACACCTTGTTCATTGCAATGTTCATTCACTGTCAATTTCATAGTAGCATTCTCTTTCCCCTTGTGAAGTGTCTCCTTAGCAGCAGTACAAAAGTTGGTTTTGTTGACTTTGCTTGGTAACTTAGTACTTGATCGTACAGACTGACTTTTGATCTGTGAAAATGTATAGCCAACACTTTTTTATAAATATATATATCTTATTATTTCTAAACTTCAAATAAATTTAAGGATGGCTAGGAAAGGAATTATTGCGATGACTAATATTAGAATACAGCTAGCATGAGCTTATCTTGATGTGTCTTTGTTTGTTTACATGGCGACATCTTCAAATTCTCAACAATCTCATGCTACACCAACCAGTATTGAAATTTTTTCCACTGCCAAACCCACCTTCAATCAACGAATCTCCGTCAATGGAAGCAGCAAGTGGAAGGAGTGCTGTGAGGTCCGAAAATGGTGTGATTTGCAGTTACGCCACAAATTCCTGAGCGATACCTCACTGTAGCTGATTGCGGCTCCAGTTCAGAGAATCCGGCATTTACTTCGTGGGAGGAGCAAGACTCGCTCCTCTGCACATGGCTGTTGTGACGGAAAAGGTTCTAAACAAAAGCCTAGCTGTGCTACATATCCCTGCTCAAGATCAACGGGCAGATGCTCTCACCAAGCCCCTCGCCACCAACAGCAGGTTTCTTTGCTTTGAAGACAAAACTCAGAGTTGTTGACAAGTTTTCACTTGATCAACCTCCCTGAGTTTGAGGGGGAAATATTAGAATACAGCTAGCATTGGGCTTATCTAATAAAAGAGAGTTGGACTTTGGCCCACTAACCTCCTAACAGAATTCAGTTATACCTAACTGAATTCAGTTGAATGTAACTAAGTGCCCTCCCTCCCCCTCCCTAGAGCTTCTAACAACTAACAAGATAATTGTCACTTAATACAAAGGGAAGAGCCCAAAATTTCTAATAAGGAAGATATATAGTGATCCATTTGATAATCATTTGGTGATAAATTTTTGGATATTAAACTAATTATAATTGGGTCAGATTTGCTAAGTCATTCACAATTGATAAAAAGATAATATCTTCATGTTAAATGATATAAAAAATGCATGACTTGAAGACAGTACAGCTTCTCACCAATGACTTTGCAACATTGATGTTATTTCCTAGTACGATTCCTTTTCCTTTTCCTTCAGCTGTAATGGAAGATGTCTTGAATTTGTTTCCAAGGTTGCATCTACTCTTATCAGCAAGATTCATTGTGACCACATCTTTCGTATTTGTGATTTTCTTCCTCTGTTCCTTTGATACAAACTTAACTTCATAACTAGGATTTGAACATGACCCAACACTAGACTTCCCAGAAGATGATTTACGACCTCTTGATTTCATGTTATCAACATCCATCTCCACTTTTGAGACTTCCTGTTTTGCATAACTTTTTCTAAGACTAATACTATTCACCGACGAACTTCCACTTTTCTTATCACATGGTTTATTAGACACCTCCATATATTTATGCTGGTCTCGAACTCTTGAACCTTCTGTAACCACACTTTTCCCAAAACTATTGCTTGACGAACTTTTTCTTTTCCCATCATATGATACCTTGTTATGCTCCTTATAATCCTTCTTTTGAATCATGTTCTCAAATGTAAGCATGGTTCTTATCGGCCTTTCATAATTCTTTTTATTCATAGAACCTGAACTTCCCACTAGATTACCGCAACTGGCCTTGGACATAGCTTTTCCCCTGGCATTGTGTTCAAAAGTCAACCCTGATTTCGGCTTGCCAACAGTTAATGTTGATTTGGGCTTCACTTCATAACCAATGCTGGCATCTAGTTTGAAGCATCCCCTTCTGCTTAAACCCTCATGTTTATCCAACAAGGCATTTAGATTAATACCTTTCCCCCACTTGATCTTATTGTTGTAGTCTTTTCCTCTTGATTTCGAGACCGAAGAAGGAAGTCCCGGCGAAGCAAATCCCTGTAACATAACTGCATCCTCAACAGAGTGAGCGAATTTTGACTTTAACTCGCAAGCAGACAACTGGTGGAACCTGAAAATGATTTGATGATTCAGTAAAATCCAATATGGAAAACCCAAGAACTTTTACAAAAGGATCCTTACAAGTGATTTTTGTTGAACCAGTCATCATCAGTTCTGCATCACAACCAAACTAACTTTTGATAAATAAAACAAAATAGATGAAAACAAATTGGAATTCAGAATTCAAAGTCACTCACATATTGTATTCATAAGGAGATTTAGCTTCAAGAGTCAAATCTGCCCACATAGGTGCATCAAAATGTTCCTGTATGTTATGCAACTATAAATGTAAACCCTAAATAAACAAATGAAAAACCTATTGTGCAAATTTGCACGCATCGCAGTAGAAGCATTTAGTCTAGATATTCAATGTTCAATTATTACTTGCACAAATTGTTAACAAATAACTTGCAAGAATCTGCATAATCCAAAACCTAAAAAATGTGTAATGCGGAATGAATAAAAATGAAAATAATAAGCAATTTTTGCACCGTAGAACCAAAAAGAACGCGAAAACAAACAATTATCAAGAAACTGAATAAGTAAAACCCTAAAAAGTGAATAATACAGAATCGATGAAAATGAAAGTAAGAAGAAAGGAGAAAAGAGTGTTGCTTACAAGATAAGCCCAGTGATCGGTGACGATCCTGTTCTTGATAGAGACTTGCATGATTCTCAAGTGAAGAACGACTGAAAGTGAAAACTCAGATACGAAAGAAGAAGCGTGTCTCAATCCACATTTTGATTTGATGATATAGATATTCTCATCATCTATTTTATTTTTTTCACAAAATCATACTATTCATTCATTTCATACTATTTCTTTATCCTAAAATTATTTATTATCATTTTTAATACAACAACAAAACATATATTTTTTAACTTTTAAATTTTTATTTAAACTTTTGAAACAAATGTCTTTAAATCTAAACTCATATGCATTATATATATATATATATATATATATATATATATATATATATATATATATATATATATATATATATATATATATATATATATATATATATATATATATATATATATATATATATATATATATATATATATATATATATATATATATATATATATATATATATATTAATTTTTTTATTATTTTTTTTTATTGATTCGAAAGTATCTAATAAACGGTGACATTATATTTTAAAATATTTAATATTATTGATTAATCGGAAGTATACGGTGAAATAATCTTTCAAAATATTTAATATTGTTGAGTTGAATTTAACTCATATTTTTAATTAAAATAAAAAAATTATTAAATATTTTATCAAATTGTTGTTGAATTTTCAAGAAGCTACTACCATTTTTTTTTATTTTAAAATGAATATAAAAATTAAAAGTATTATAACGAATATTTTGAAGATGGCAACATACAAAATAAAAATAATAAATTTAATAATTTTTTTTTAATCTAATTTTTTTTAATTGTTCAACAAAAAGGGGAAAGGGGTATATTTTTAAAAGAATTACTAACAAATATTAGGGGTGCTTATTGATAACCATTTAATATGAACCAATTTATTTTTATGATTACGGTATATAAAACAATTCATTTTTATGGTTATAGTTTATAAACCAAACCACTTGATTCGAATTTTTTTATTATTTTTTTAAATGAATTTTTATTTTAATCTAAATTATTTAGTTAAATTTAAATTTAAATTTTTTAAAATTATATCAGTTTTTAAATTTAAATACTTAAGTTTTAATATATATTTTCTTTGAAAAAAACATTTTAAATTTTTTTAAAAAAAAACTCTAAAATAAAAAAAATATTTAAAAAATTAAAAATAAAACTAAAAATAAAAAATTTCAACAAATTATATGGACTTCAAATTGTCTAATATTTATGATCATTTTTTCATAAAGTTTTAATGATTTTCGAGATTTATAAATCAAAACTAAAGTCAAATCCAACGAATCAAATTTTGATATATTTTCTTACACATGTTAAATCAAACTCGATACACTAAAATTTAAATAATTAATTACTAAAAATTCATATAATTAACTACTAAAAGTCTATATAATTTGTGAAGTATTGATACACCATTTTAGATAATTAGACAATTCGTAAACAATTTTTTTTTCATTTTAAAATGCCAAATTTTGAATTTTGAATTTTTTATAAAATATTATTTTATATATATATATATATATATATATATATATATATATATATATATATATATATATATATATATATATATATATATATATATATATATATATATATATATATATATATATATATATATATATATATATATATATATATATATATATATATATATATATATATATATATATATGATAAAACATATAATTTAACGAATAATAAAATTTAAATACCCAATAACTAAACTATATTATTATTATTATTATTATTATTATTATTATTATTATTATTATTATTATTATGAATTTTTAAAAATAAAACCATTTAAATACAAATTTAATTAATAATAATCAGTTTTTTTACCCACACTCTAATGCTCACATATATCTTTCTTTTTGTCTCATTTATTTTTCATCCTGCTTATTTGTCATGTTTCTTTAAGTTTTAGGTTATATAATGAATGGAGTGGATTATGCTGGAAACATTACAAAAGAATGTTAATCTCGTAAAGGACTTGTTATTGTACTGAAGGTTGTTGGACTTGTTGGAATATAATATATAGTAGATAATATAAAATCTTAGTGTTTGTGTTTGGGTGCTGCATTTTTAAAATCTTTAAGATCTTAGTAGTGTGGTTCAAAGTGAATCAAATGATAAAAATTGTTCAAAATTAACTCGCTAACTGATTAAATGAGTTTAAATAACTTCAATTTTTTGAAATAAAAAGGGTTATCTCACTTCAAGGAAAAAATATTTGATTGATAAAATTGATTAAATTTAGCTTAATTAAATTTAATAAATCTATTCAAATAACTTAGATTTTTAAAATAAAAAAGAAGTGATTGATTTTTGAAAGGCCCATTTAGTCCATCTAATAATAAATTAAAAGAGAGAGAATTTCTTATCCCACCCCTTACCCTTCTTAGGCACCATGTGCTATGTCTAATATGCTTTCTGATTTCGCAGATGTATTTTCGAACGCACATTTTTCAGCTTTTTTTTAATTAATTTCGTAGATGCATCTACGAAATATTTTCGTATGTTTATTTACAAAAGAAAACCAGAAACAGAATACCAGAAAATCAACATTTCAACGATAAAATCAATATTCATAAAATTAAATCAACGTTACATTGATGATTTCGACAGAAATTTAAATGCTACATTTCAATGGCCCGATGGACGCTTGCACATCTCTAAGATGTCATCGACCGTTCTTCCGATCGTCAGTTCCAACTCGAGCGGAATTTTCTCTTCGAAACCGAAATACATTCGCCACATCGCCATAACATTGTCTTGATTCTTGAGCTCAAACTTGCTGTAAACAATGTTCCCTTCGTTGTCAACTGAAGGTGAACGATACTCAAGTTTCACAACCTTTCGTTTGTCATTGTAAGGTAGGCGATATTGGATCTCGTATATGATATCAGCGAGGGGTGATATCCATGAGCTTGAATGTCCTCCCGGGTGTTTTGCCGTCGAAAAATGAGACATTGCGACATACCAACGGATCTTGATTTCACACAATTAAGACATTTTTGTATTTGTGTGAAATATAGCAAATGAAACCCCAAATTTATAGAAAACCTAGGTGAATATAGACCAATCATTTTCTGTTAAACTTGTTTCAGGAGTTATATCCACAGAACTGTTAGACGATGGCACGGATCTAGAAGGGGGGTTGAATAGATCCCTTATTTAAAAAATGAGTCGGTGCTACCAATAAAATTGGTTTTTAAAAATTGTTTAATTTGCGGAAGCGGCCGTGGAAAAATACCGTCTATAACGAACGGTTACTAGAAAATCGGATATGCTTAGCCGATGGAATTCGGATAACGAGTAATGAGAATCACTATGCTAGTCACACTATCAACTTGATTTAGATCACTACTTGGTGTGACTAGTTCCAATGCCTAAAATGCCAACAAAATAAATGGACAACACACAAGGATTTTGGTTCAGACAATTTATCAAACACTTGGCGTGCGGAGCACTTCAAGTGAGTTCCACTTTGAGTGAGTTGCTCTAGTTTCCTTGTACAATCAACGATTATACTATAGTCGAAATCAGTTCAGCACTTACTTAAAACAGTCCTAAATTTGATATAATTGTTTGTACGAAAATCACACAAATATTAAGCAAATGTAAAAGCGTAAGATAAAAGGCACAAGGATTTGTTGAGGCAGTTCCCCCGCCGTCCTCGCTTATGGGTACGTCTGCCCTCAATTCTAATAATAGAATTGAGCTCTTATAATATAAATTTAACCTGTTGTAAAATCATATATACAAGAATGAAATAGCAATTAAACAAATGAACTCCTTTGTTGTTGTAGAAGTTATCTCATCTTGTCCCTTGATTCGAGTTGAATCAAGTCCTTCAACAGCTTGTGTACGAACCTCCGATTACAGCTCTATGTTTGAACAACCTTTTATCTTCAAACCCCAGCCTGGCTGATCTCAAAAACTCACGTATCGAACCCAAACTTCTCCTTCACAATTCGCTGATTACCGCTACTAGATCGACGGAACTCACCGCTCCTTGATCCCCTTCACTCGGCCGAATATATGTTGAGAAGACTCGTCCAAAAACCCCCAAATTCATAGAACCTTGGAGGACAAAACCCTAGAGGTTTTATTTAAGAAAAACTTGTCAAATTCTCAACCCGAACCGGATTACCCAATCACGGCTTCGAACGTTGTCACCTTAGACAATTCATAATGCACAACAAAGATTATTAAGTGTGATTGTTGTGGTATGAAATGTAGAAGATGAAGATGATGAGAACTTGAATTTACACCTCTTTCACTTTTCTTGTTTTTGTAATTGATTCAATTGATATAAAATGAATAGAGCAACTGAATATTTATATCAGACAAAACTGTTATAACTAATAAAACCACCTTTCAAAATTAATAGACAAATCAAGAATTATGCAGCAAACAGTGAGCGGTCGACCCATGCAGAGTGCAGGGTCAACCTGAGCTAACCCGAGGCAAACAGATTGTGCAAAACAAGCAGCTATGCATCGACCGGAACAAGGCTATGCATCGACACAAAGCCTGAATTTTTAGATAGATACAAATGCTAACAGTATGCGTCGACCGGTGGGTCGACCATACCTAACCCGAGGAAAATGCAAGTTTGAGACACTTACCATGAGTCGACCGGAGTAGAGGTATGGTCGACTCAAAGACCTGTAACTTCAGAAAATGCCTAATTTTGATGTTTTTTACACTCTTAGATGATACCTATGACGACCAATGAGTTTTAACTCGTATGACGCATATTTTAACAACACCCAGTGCAGTACTAGAGATATTTTGTGCAAGCAAATGAAACATGACAAATAGGATATGATTATGTATTATGGTGATAACGCCAAACATCTCTTCTTCCATGCGGCTAAGTTTTGACATCGTCGAAACCCGTATATCTAGTATATGAGGCTTTGCCCTCACGGATACGACCCCATAATTATTGGTTTCGGAGGTGTATCTTCGAAACTTTCTCTGACTTGAAAGCG